ATTACTTAATAACTTTGTTGATAATAATAAGAATAATTGAATTAATCGTTAGTAATTTTTTGAGACTGCTAGTATGAAGACTTTAACTGGTGCCCGACAAAATTTGAAGCTCAGAGTCAGTGTGCACTAGCCAGTTCAGGGTTTAATTAAAATTAATACATTGTTTTTATTTATTCGACGTGTGTAGCTCGTTACTTTGATGTGACTTCCGTGGTATTACAACGTGCCATTATTATTCTCACTCTATAAAAATATAGTAATAATAATATTATTATTAGACAGTTTATTATGTGGGGCAAGAAGTGGGGAAAGATGTGTATTTAGTTATTAATTTTTTAAAATAAAATAAGAAGAATCATTAAGCACTGGCAGTTATAAGTTACCCGTCAAAGTTCACATATTTTTTAACAAACTTCTTCAAATGACCATATCTATGCGTCTTAAGTTACACAATGTGCAGTTATAAAAGTGTATAGCGTATAAGAAATTAGTTCCATTAAAAATGAATTTGTCATAGACTGAATTATGGAGTGTCTTTTTTCTAATATAATCTATAAAACAAATTTATATATAAATCTTTCGATCGAATCGTGAGCGCTTAGCAAAGCGGTTAAGTTGACAGCTAATTTTAGACTGTAAAAACTCCTTACTCCTTTGCTTATTGAAATACTAAAACAACAATCCACCATCCCTGCACTTTAAGCATTTTTTTCGCATTTAATGTTTTTCTAACTTCGTCTCATATATCTGTAGTTATATAAGTGTTATGTAAGTGTATGTTTGTATGTTCGTAGGTTTGTACATTTGTCTAGCACTTTTCTCTTAAGTCTGTACGCGCATGTATTTATACATCTGCTGAGCCAAAGCCAAAGCCAGAGCCAGAGCCAGAGTCAGAGCCAGAACCATTTTGTGCAATGCAATAAAATATAATTGACATTTCAATTGTAAAATGGATTGTTATGTGACACATGCTGGTTTAGTTTAAGACTTTGATGTGGAAATCGTAAAAAGGATAAATGGTATGTGTGGTCCCATATAGTATGCATACTGTTTCCCATACATGACAAAGGTTTTGCGATATGAAACTGCAAAGTGTCGTTTAGCAGTTTGCTTTACATACATTCTCAAATATAAACGAGTATTTATTTAAATGTCTTTTTATGTTATTTTTTTTTTTTGTTATTTTTTTTTGCAGTTGTTTGTCCTCCGATTGTCATTTATATGACAAGAGAAATGACATAAAAACAAAGACTTTGCCAACACCAAATGCAATAAAATTCCTATACGACGAGCATGTGAAGAGCAATTGTTATGACATGCATATTACTTAGTTTTAATTCCTTATTTTTCTTTTAATACAAATCAAAAAGCAGCATAGCAATCATTTTAGCATTATCCTTTTCAAATGATTGCAAACAATATTTTGTTTATTTCATTTCATTCATTGTGCTTCCTCTTCACTCAATAAATAAAATGTCAAATGTTATAATAAGCATTTCATATAGATTTTGATTTATTATTAAGTAATTTAACTTTTTACCTTATAAAGAGATTTTTTCGAACAGCTAGTCAACTACAACAACAAAAATTCAATTTATATTATTTTAATTAATTGAATTTTTGGCTCATCATCAACATCAGTGGTCTTGGAAATAATGCTTGTATTTAATTATTTGTAAATAATTTTTTTTTTTTTGAGACTCTTATAATAGGAATCGAACTCGTGTCCTGCCAAATTTAAAGTTCAGAGTCAGCGCTCCTTAACTAACGAGTGATCCAAAGCCTTGACTTGACTTTTATGTTCGCACATTTTTCTGTAGTTTTTTCTTACCTTATTAGATAATACCAGTTACTTAAAGTAAAATAAAAAAATTGAAGTTAGTTAACCCAACAATATACGTATACGAATACTCCATTTGCTCAAATGAAAGTGAACATTTTGTATTCGCATTTAAATATATATTTTTATACGCAAATATTTATATAGAACTTTGTGAAATTTACCTACTCACAAAAAAAAAAGTATCTAGCACAGCCGTCTTATCATAAATAAACTTTTACGAGGTTATTTTGTTAGAGAAATTTTCTATAGCTAAAGATATATCCTTAAATAAACTCATACTGCCTGGTAATAAAATATGTTGTCAATCGCATTCGGTGTCACTTAATATCAAAAAAAAATTTTTATTTATTTTTCAACTAAGAAAGTCAAAAAAAAAAAAAATTATCGAATCAGAAAATTTAATATTAAGAACGATGAAATACACAGAGTGTGGAAAATATTTTCGCACGAAATCAAATAAATTCTAAAGTCAATGAACCTCAAACCACACAGATTTCGCTTGGTACACATTCCTTAAGCAAACTTAAAATGAAACGTATCAGAGCATCAAGAATCCTTTTTTATGTGCTCATTTTATTTGCTCATCCTAACGTTTGCCTCTATAGTTTCACACACACACACACAGAAACACACTTATATATGTCCATACATATATATATATAAATTTTTATATATTCTTACTCCATTTTATGCTGTCATTTTCATTTTCATTTTCATTTTTTACCATGTCAAATGGCAAAATACTTGCCTAAATGTGAAAATAATGTCCTTCTTGCCACCAAATGATTTGAATTTGAGTGAGGCTGTGCTTTATACTTAGTAAAAATGCTAAAATACCAAAAAATAATAAAATCTCCCTAAGAACACACATAAAAAAATGTCTACCAAATGCAAGGATATCAGCACGTGCTTATATGAAAAAAAACGTCGTAGTCATAAGGAAATGAAAAAAAATATTCAAAAATTTATTGAACTAATAAATTATTTGCACAAAAATTTTAAGAAAAATTTTCCTCATATAATGCAAAAATTTACTTGACTATCCTTTGCGCAATAATCACGCACGTAAGGACATCACAGCTAACGATGATATTGCTGATACAATAAAAGTTGTCAGAAAAACGCAAGGGAGCATCACTCATCTTGTGATTTTAATAAAATATTTACATGGATATTGTTTACAGAATAATGATATGAAAATGATATATAAATTTTTGGAACCACCTTTTGAGAGAGAGTATTTATGAAGCATTCAAAAATGACTTCCACTATTAAATTTGCAATAAATATGTATTCTTTTTATCACATTAACTTATATTTATATTTTTGTTCTTAAATACTTTTAAATGTAAATATTAATTTCAATTAAATTATTTAATATTTGTATATATAATAAAAAATGGTATAGATAATAACAGAACACGATTAACTATCGCTTGCAGTCCAAACATATTATATACGTACTGTAATCTCAATGTTATTTTACGTTAAATTCTATGCCGTGACGGCTTAATATAATGCCCCATTGGAAACTCAAAGAATTTCCGCCGTTGTCAATTAAGCAATGTATGTAGGACATGACTTCCACCTTGAATTGATGCGAAGCCCATCTAACCTCTGCTGACCTTTTCGTAACAGCACCCGGTGATGAATACGCAACTCCACGCCGAATAAATGATAAACAAATATCTAATCATTCTATCCACGTAAGTTTGGGTATAACCCACAGCCATTATGAGTACAGCCTCAACTAGTTAGCACAGCCAAAGTTACGGGCTATTGACCACCGTAGTACCACATTTACGCCTCTGATCGTGTGTCGCAAGTGGGGCGGTCATGAACACATCCTGACAAATGTCGACATAGCGCCGGGATTTTAGGCATGCCTTATATCGGGAATATTCTAAACCCCTTCACCAGAGTGGCAATTATGTGCGGACTATAAACTAATTAAGAACTTAAAAACTTCCAATATTTCTAAAGATCACAGATGATAGGTAATTGGCAATATTCTAAACAGCGTGGTATGGTCACCCAAATTTCAATAAATTAAATATAATTTTTGTTGTTGTCTTTACATTTCCATTCGAATCCTTCTAACTTTTAAATAGAGTCTTTTTGTTATAAGAAGCGTTAGTTTCGGAAAAAAAATTAACGTTAAAGAATAGCATGAACTAGGAAAGAAGTAGGTATGGCGTTAACAATAGGATTTAATACTGTACATTATACCGAATAGGATACTCAATACTTAAAGGATCAAATTATTTTAAGTAACATAATTTTGGAAAAGGGATTTAAAAGATATTCGAATACTCGAAATTCGTTATTTTGTATACTGTGTTCCTTAGAGAAATCTCTATTCAATAACATGATTTACCTTTAAAGGACACTGCTGGCAAAGATCGTTGAAGGTCTCACGTAAGATCGAACTTAAGGCCGTTTATAAAAGTTTAGTTATTCTGGCACAAAAGTCTTTAAAAAAAAGTTTTATTATTTGTGGTTTATGATAGAATGCTGTGTTGTGTTTTTACTGTTGATACTAAAAACATAAATATTCCAGAGTCAAATATTCCGTAATCTTGGATCGTAATTGGTTACAAAAATTTGAATGGATATGCTGAATTCATTTCCTGGAAAGTATAAGGCGCGAGCAAATAAAGTCAGGAGAAATTTCATAGATTATGTCAAAATATTACCACAAGAGAGGCGCAAGGCACTTAGAGAATATTGAGCAGGCCATCGAAAACCCATCAAAGTCAATAAACTGCCAATCAAATGTAGTATGAGTCTTATAAAGTAAGCTTAAGAGATGCATATATCATTTAAGCTCTTTGGTAACAAAATTTTGAAAATTATACATTTTGATAGAAGTATTTTTATCTTCTTCATTCTTCTTCTTTTTGAGTTAGTGCTATTACGCACTTTTACTCTATAATGGCTTATCTCTACCCCACACTAGGCTTTAACTAGGCTAAAAAAAAAAATCATATCATTTATTTGTCTTTTAGTTGATGACGGACCTTAAATCAGTATTTTTATTATTAGTATTGCCAGTTTTCATCTCAGTAAGCTATGGTTTTAAAAGAAAGTCAGATTAATATGAAAATAAAAATATAGTCTGAGAAATTAAAAAATTGTTGAGTTTAGTCATATAAAATATTTAGATATACTTTTTATCATTAAAAAATTAAGCGTTAAGCAAAAAAAAACTATTTTACATATTTGACTCTATCGTAATCAAAATTAGACATGCAAAATGGGATTTGATTATGATCTGATCGTAGGCACTTGCAATTTAAATATTATTTGCCAAATATGTATGGATGTTTTAGAAAATCCCGTAGAATGCAGTCCATGTTGCCATACTTTCTGTGCTACTTGTGCCAATGTCTGGTTTTCCAAATGCGAGCATTGTCCCATAGATCGCTTGTGTCCTGTGGCCATCAGAAAATGTTCCGCTGGCATTATCTTTAAGTTGCTTATGCGTACTCGAATTAAATGCAAATTCCACACACAGGGATGTACAGAGGAAATGTTCTTAGTTGAATTTAGGGATCACGTAAAAGCGTGTATATTTCATCCTGAAAAAGAATACATATGTACCGAGGGTTGTGGTTGTGAAGTGAAACGCAAAGACAAGGAAACACATGATTGTGCTCAGCATTTAGAAGTATTAATAGCAAAGTATCGACACTTACTCTATGGAAAAAATTGCTGTTTGCTGTCATCTCATCTCAGTCTGGATTGCTTGAAAAGTGAATGGCGTTGCATGTGTAAGTTTATATATAGAAAGTATCATATCGACTTAAGACCCAAAGAAATTGTTATTAAATGTCCGCATGTTATAAGAAAGAAATTATTTGCTTGGGGTGCATCGCTACCACTAGCTTCTGTAGAAAGTTGGCAAAGAATTTATTCCGGACCAAAACGTACACTGGTACGTGAGTTGAAGAGCGCATTGGTTGCTTGTCATTGTCCTTCAGGGTTTATAACAAGACTTTTGAGAAATTGCAATGAACGTTATTGGCCTCCTGGTATAGCTGATCTATATAGCCGCCGTCAACATTGTGATACATTGAAAAAATACGTATTAAGGAAAATTCCAAACATGCAAGCAGTTGTGATGTTATTTAATCAAAATAAACATGTATCTTTTGACTTTATAGTTTTCCCTGGATTAATATTTGCTTTTCAAACTGGAGTACACGAATCTATTTGATTTGAATTAAATTTTTTTTGTGCATTTTTTAAGAAAATATATAAAATTTTTACAAATTTTTAATAAAATTGTCCGATAAAATAAAAGCTTGTCATTGATTGGAATAGACAATGAATAATCTTTGTCAAGATTACTCCATAGGAAACGTGGTCGTCCCCATTTGCCTTTGTTTTCCAACTGTTGTCTTAAAAGTAGTTCTAACTTCCTCGTTAGAGTATTGCGATCTATCCTCATGATATGACAAAACTACCAAAACTGCTGGAAAATAATTTGATAAATGATTTTAATATCATGATAGAGCTCAAATAGCTCGGGTCTCATTTGGATGCAGTAGTCTTCGCCAACTCATATAGTACGAAGGGTTTTTCAATGATTTTTTTTCTCACGAATACTTCCATTGTGGTTTCATTAGTTTGTGATCGTTTCCATGCCTTTATACGACGCAGTATTTCAGGTAAGATTAACTAAATGGATACCCAATTGTTTAATCCTCCCTTAGTAATATCCATTGCCAATGGTAATATTTCATCTGATATCTGACTAAAATCATTTTTATTGGTTAAGATGTGGTTAAAATAGATGACCGTTTCGTTCTTGGCAGTATCGCAAGTATAGTTGCCAGCAATCAGCTCGAGATTTGAGTGACTCACATTTTTGCTAGCAATAGAAAGATATCTGCTTCGTTTTTTTATGGACAATTATATATATAAAGACAATGTTTTCAGTAACATCACTTTCGGTTAATAAGGTTGCCAAGTTTGTTAGTTTTATATTACATTAGTGAATAAATTTTTGTTGATTTCGGATTTAGAAATGTCCTTTCTCCACTTGTACCTATTACAGATATTTTGGATAATGCGAAGAGTGGTATACAAAGTCAGGCTCTTCGAAGATTCTTCACAGTGCCATGCTCAGAATAATCCTTAGCCGCATGGGGTGATACGCAAATCGCAGATCAGTCATAGAATAATCACGAAGCTTTTGACGAATACACAAAATAGTTAGTGATAAGGGTGATACCCTACAGTAAAAGTGCCCAGATTCACTAACTCAGAAAAGATTCAACATGAACGTTTATCTTTATTTAGGGAGCAGTAAATTTAATACCATCAGGCAAAAACACTTTTAGCCTAGAGAGTTCACAACAGATCATACATTGCATATGTATCCAATTCTCGATTGTAGACAAACGATTTGAGACCGAAGATCTTCAGAGAATTTCAAGAGAAAAGTATTAAAGTGGAAACAATCCACCACCATTACATTTCTGTTACTAGAATAATTCGGATAATTTAATACGAAGAGGAGTTGTTTTAGTCCGAATAGTACACATTAATGCATAGGAGTCAGGCACAACATTCTGACGACGATCGGTCTGACGATCGATGTGGTTTATGTGCTGGGTGGTACCTCACCGATAAATCCAATACTGTTATGATATAGATTAAAAGGTCAGCAAGAAATGAGGCGTGGATTATAAAATTGATGTATTTTAAAATACTAGCATTTAATAAAAATTATCGAATACTAAATAAAAGAAGCTTAGTCAACGATATTTTCACTAACTCAACTGCATATAATTTGAAATACCATATTTAAATATTTACCTTCCCAACAACTTAAGTTCAACCAAACTAACCTTCATGCTTTTTATCTCTTCAATCCAGAGCACATATGTAATCAGGGTTTCCGTTACGTATCTGTGTAAAGTATGTCCTTGCACTCTAACGGTAAACTTAAAATTTGTTTATCAAAACATAAAATTCCTAATCTAAGTAAGGCCTTCATTCCATTCGGGACAAATGTGAGTCGATAACTTGGCAGTTGTGAGATGTCACGCCCAACTTAAGCAAAATAAATGCAATTTGGCTGCCATAGTTTGCTTATTGTTAAGCTACTTTAGCTATTATCATTGCGCTACTTGAGCGAATACTTAAGCTGTTTATCTGCCAAAGGACGCTTCGAACTTTTGTTAGTTAAATAAATAAAATTTATTTTATTTTGCTTCTTATATGAGGACATGAGTTTGAGTAACTTTACGTAAAAAATGCCAAGAGTCCTTCTCGTTCATTAAACGAACTGAGCAGCGAACCTTTCTCTTCAGCTGTGTTTTTTTTTTCCGGGTATTTTATTTAGTTATATAATAAGAGAAATGAGTAACTTTTGTTTTGTTTGTTTTAGTGCGATTTTGTGCTGATTCAAGCGAAATTCGAGCATTCGAAAGTTTACAAATGGAGGTAAAATACTCGACACGTCCTCATACAAGTTGCATTTCCGGTATTTTGAATAGCCACTCTTATTTTTGGCACGTTCTAGCGTTTTTTATATTCTCTGAAGTTTAAATGCTTAAGTCGTTCTGGGTTATAAAATTAACGTACTTTATACTTTATTATTTTGAAGCATTTACTACATTACAGCAATAAAATACCGACTACGTTTATTGCTAGTAAAACGAACTTACGAATTTCTAACGTAAAAATTATTACCCAAAAATTTCATTATTACTAAGTAATTTCATTGAAATTATAATGAATAAGAATACCATATATTTCCAAAAACTAATCATACTAGATTTATCTATTATTTACTACCAAATAAGGTGTAATTAAGTATTTTTTAGTTAGATCATTTTAACTTCACTTTGAACTCTGACTATACTCGGAAAATTTGCAAGTTGCTTTGAAGATGGCTATACCCAGTAACATGTCAAGGGGCGAAATTAAAAGATATAGTTCGCCCACTTGAAAACATACTATTGTATATTGACGCTCGTATAGCATAGTTTGTTTTTGAAATAAATATTTTATTCCAAAAATATAAAATATATTCATACTTATTTTACATATATGAGTTGATTTAGAGAAAGAATAAGATTTCATTAGGTTAAACAGATTTTTCAATAAACAAATATTGTAAATTTGTCATATAAGAATTTGGTTTAAATTATATACATATTTATAATTAATTTATTATTATTTATTTGTTTATAATTTATTTCTTTATTTTTTATTTATTTATTATTTATAATATATTTATTATTTATAATTTCTTATTAAGTAAAAAATTTTTAATATACATTGTGACCGAAAAGTTTTCGGAAATTCTCATTTAAAATTCGCGCGCTGTATATTTTTCGATATTTTAAGTTTATGTAGTTTGGCAGCACTGTCCTTAATTACTATGCCAAAAATGAGCGCGATCTGTCAGACAGTTCGTTTACGGCAGCTGTTGAAACCAGTTCACCTCAGTAGTGCGTTGCGAAAAAAACAATGGAAAAAAATATTGATCAAAGAGTTTGCATCAAATTTTGTGTTTCGAACGAATTTTCGTGTGCAGAATCGTTGCGAATGCTACAAAAGGCTTATGGGGAATCAGTTTTATCGAAAACTCAAGTTTATGAGTGGTACAAAGCCTTTCAGGACTGTCGTACGACCGTCGAAGACATGCCGCGTTCTGGACGACCTTCGACCTCTACCACCGACGAAAACATTGAAAAGGCAAAGGAAATCGTGTTCAAAAATCCTCATGTGAGTGTTAGAGAGATAGCACGAGAGCTAGGCATCGGTCGTGAGATGGCTCGTTTGATTTTGGTGGACAATTTGTGTATGCGACGTGTCAACGCTCGGCTTTTTCCGATTCACCTCAATTTGTTCCAAAAACACCATCGTGGACAGGTCTCGTTAGACATGCTTGATCGTGCCAATTCCGATCCAACTTTCATGGAACGCATCATAACGGGTGACGAGACATGGGTCTACGAGTACGACATGCAAACAAGCCAACAATCATCGGAATGGAGAGGAAAAGACGAGCCGAAACCGAAAAAACCACGCCAAAGTCGCTCGAAAATCAAGGCAATGCTGATTGTTTTCTTCGATATTCGTGGTGTGGTGCATCATGAATTCGTCCCTGAAGGACAAACAGTCAATAAAGCCTATTATTTGACTGTTTTAAGACGTTTGCGTGAAAATATCCGCCGTAAACGGCCTCAATTGTGGAAGGATAATTCATGGATTTTTCATGACGATAATGCTCCCTCGCACCGAGCCAACATTATCAACGATTTTAAGGCCAAACATTCAATAAATACCATCGAACAGCCCCCGTATTCACCTGATCTTGCACCGTGTGACTTTTTCCTGTTTCCCAAACTCAAATTACCACTCAGAGGAACGCGTTTTGAATCCATAGAAGACGTAAAACAGAATTCGCAGAGGAAACTCAAAGCCATACCGGAAAGCGCCTATAAAAAATGTTTTGATGATTGGAAGAAACGTTGGCATTTGTGTATCGCTTCTAATGGAGCATATTTTGAAGGAGATAAAATAAATATTGATGAAGATAAAGAATTTTGCGTTTTATTTAAAATTTCCGGAAACTTTTCGGTCACAATGTATTAGTTTAATATTGTTTTTGAAACGGGTTAAGTGTGTTCAGTTCTTAAATAAAATACTTTTTTAAAAAATTAGTTTTTAAATATATTTTTATATAAATAAATATTTCGATTATATTCTATAATCATTTTGAGTATCCTGAAGATGACTACACAATCAAGTTTAAATATTGGTGGAAATAAAAGAAATTAAAAAAAAAATTTTTAAAAAAGTTTATTATTTAACAATAGACTAATTTTTTAAAAAAAGGTAATTATTTAACAATTAAAAATTAGTAATCAAAGACAACAATCAATCAAAAACAAAGTTATTAATAAAATATTTATGTGCACTAATATTACTTTTACTTTTAAATCAATTAATAAATCTAATTAGTAATAAAGTTTTAATCAATTTTATATATTATTAGTTTTTATTTTTAAATTACAAAATTTTTCTTAATTTAATTTCGTAGTAGATTTTTAATACTCTTATTGAATCATTTTAATTTTTTTTTTAATATTATGAATTCTATTTGTACATTTTCAAGAAATGGGTAAAAGGGTATTATTTTTTTTAATTAATTATTATTTTAATTGATTATAAATAGTTAAAATATAAATATTTTATTAATTGCAACTTTTTTTTTTAATTCAAAGTCAATT